ACGATATACAACAATGACAAACAACACACATCACTATCTCAACAACGATATACAACAATGACAAACAACACACATCACTATCTCAACAACGATATACAACAATGACAAACAGTAAACATCACTCTCTCAACAACGATATACAACAATGACAAACAGTAAACATCACTCTCTCAACAACGATATACAACAATGACAAACAGTAAACATCACTCTCTCAACAACGATATACAACAATGACAAACAGTAAACATAAACCACTATCTCAACAACGATATACAAACAGTAAACAACACTATCTCAACAACGATATACAACAATGACAAACAACAATCATCACTATCTCAACAACGACACACAACACTATCTCAACAACGATATACAACAAAGACAAACAAATTCACTATCTGAACAACGATATACAACAATGACAAACAACACACATCACTATCTCAACAACGATCACTATCTCAACAACGATATACAACAATGACAAACAGTAAACATCACTCTCTCAACAACGATATACAACAATGACAAACAGTAAACATCACTCTCTCAACAACGATATACAACAATGACAAACAGTAAACATCACTCTCTCAACAACGATATACAACAATGACAAACAACACACATCACTATCTCAACAACGATATACAACAATGACAAACAGTAAACATCACTCTCTCAACAACGATATACAACAATGACAAACAACACACATCACTATCTCAACAACGACACACAACACTATCACAACAACGATATACAACAATGACAAACAACACACATCACTATCTCAACAACGACACACAACACTATCACAACAACGATATACAACAATGACAAACAACAAACACCACTATCTCAACAACGATATACAACAATGACAAAGAGCAAACACCACTATCTCAACAACGATATACAACAATGACAAACACACATCACTATCTTAACAACGATATACAACAGCGACAAACAACAAACATTACACTCAACAACGATATACAACAATGACAAACACACATCACTATCTCAACAACGACATACAACAATGACAAACAACACACACACACTCTCTCAACAACGACATACAACAATGACACACATCAACACCAAAGGTAACAACTTAAATGTTATAATCATCGTCAAATCATCACCATACTTTTCATCATTGTTTGTCTTCAAACACTCTTGTCATTTTATTTAAATATGATATTCTCTTGGATAATCCAGAGAAATTTTTCTTCCCCTTTGTGGACTCAGATTTACGACTTTGTTGACAATTCAGTGTTTCTCTCACTCACTTTCACTCGATACACGAGTCTGTGGGCGACTGAACAAGCTTACTTCAACTACACATGTAACAGCATCCCAAAATGCCAATCCTGTATATCGATTGTCCATGGATGTGATGACAATTGTCGTATGAAGATAAAACTCATAGTAATGAGAGCAAATCATACTTACTTAACGTGGAACTGACGGATCATTGAGATACGACAATGGCACTTAGTAACAATCTCGTCGGACTTCAGCATAGTGGTGTCATAACATAAATTAACGTGTGGTGCCCTTCAACCTGCGCGTTAATTAACAACTCTTCCTTCACCTTCTCATTGGTATGGGCGATATCTGAACATCCATCTATCTCGAGATTTACATTTATGACGAAATGTACTCCCCCCATAAACCATATTTAAAACGTATTTATAGGAATTGTGCTAAATGAAACCCATCCTCTTCAATTGAAGACTCTAAATGTAGACATGTATTTATCTTCTTTCTCTCATCCATTCTTACCATTACTATAAAGACATACGTAAAACATAAATAGTATCACCCTACATTTTCTTGGTTCTACAAAAATATGCAATTTGTTGACAATTTCTTGGATATTAAACATTCACTTGTACTAATCGTCGTGTCAAATTCTATTCATTTTTATGGACAAAAGAATTCATTGAATAGTAACACTGAATTCAACGAAAATACCCCGCCCTAAAAGAAAATTGTTGATTTTACACTATAACATTTGTACAATGTCGTAAAATATGTAGTAACAAAACCATCTTAATCTTACTGCTTTCTGTGTATATCAGCCAATTACGTACCACCAAATTTGATTAAGTAAATCATGAAATTCAAAGATAAATTTATACATAAAGTACAAGAAATACACACGTGAACAGCACCTTTCCATAACAATTCAGAATAAGAGAGGGTATTGCATATCCTGTACCAACATGCATCATAAATCTGTTTTGTCCTCCTAGGACTTGCTAGTGATGCTAAAGGCCAAAATACGGAAACCAAAGACGCGACTGAGTAAAATCATATTAGGCGAAATAAACGTCAAAATGTTAACAGGAATGTGCACTAGCTCCAAAATTATTTAGTTTAATAGTTTTCAAATATTTGATAATTTCAAATAACTTTCAAGTACGTGTGTTTATTGTAAGTCATGTCATTATTCGAATTAGTTAAACACGGAGGAAAATCTATCCCTCGTTTTCAAGCGGTAGGAATAAAACCTTGATTACCCCAGCCTTTATCATTTTGCTATGTTCCACTTATATGAACAAATTAAAAACTGAAAAGTGACAATTGTTAACAATTTGTGATGACGTAAATACATATTTTCAATAGGGATTCTAGTTTGACAGACTGTAATCTTTTCAGATGTCATGTTTTAGATTCCTTAAAGACAGTTATTTCTAAACTAAAACTCGGACAATCCACTAATCAGTCTACTTATCGTATTGCATAACATATGGCGTACAGACGGTCAGTAATGAGTTGACCAAAAAGCTTTATCACATTCGTTCCAGGAACCGAACCTCTAGGTGAAATGCATGTGCATTATCACTGCGCTACTCGGTATCATCAATCAGTATGATTTGATTATTCATAGACAAATAACATCATTATTGTTTGTATTGATTTATTCCATCAGCCAACAAAATGTGTTCAGGACAACACAGAAAATGTTCAAACAAATTTGATGAAACTAGAGCAAAAGGACGCATGGAAAGGTGTTCAGATGGGTAAGTGTTTTCTAATTCATCGACAACAGCCACCATTTAAATTTACATTCACGAAGAATATTTCTCGGTGAGATCATTATGGTGTCCGTAAAACACCATAATCTTCATCATTATAAATCTCTAGACGCCTACGTTGTGTGTTTGTCTATCAGTTGTCGACATAATACTGGGATTAAATCCTAGAATATCGAATCAACTAAGACATGTTAACACTATAGTCTGGGGATGCAGGGACGATGTTTTCCAGAAATGGCAAAATCACATTAGCAAAATTGAAGCCTTGAGGAAAGATGTTCCTGTTAGTTTCGTTGTACGAGATCGAAGAGAGCGGGTGATAAAGAAGATGAATTAGGTTCAACCGTGCAGCTGTTTCGTCCACCTAGGCTTATAAAAGTCAAAACATAAAAAGGTGTTATCCATTTGTGCGAAGCTTTCAAACATAACATTACAAACAGACGTATTTAGCTGTCTCCAATAGAGTAAATAACATAAAATCTTACACGTGATATTTGTTACCAAAAAAGGAAATAGTAGAATTCTTCATTTTCAATCATACGATATAACCGCAAAAGCTCATTTCCGTAATGTTTCTAATGATCCGATGTTGCATATCAAAAAATAGTATGCTGTCCGTAACCAACCGTCAACACCACGTTGGTAAAATGTTTATCAACACAAGAAAGCATCAGTATGATTTTCTTTCTCACATGCTTCGTTTATTGCCAATATCAAGTTTCCGTAACGTCTGTTTCCATTACTTGTGATAAACAACGTTGTCGTGATATACTCTAGTGCTAGAATCAAAAGCTAACCTGACAAGTTATCTCCCTTATTATGACCTGCTGCGTAAATTGCCAATGAAATAATGTATTGACTCAAATACTTTGAAAAACTAAATAATGACTGAATTTATTGATAAGCTTTTCAAGTAACAGAAACTTTGCCAAGTATCTCAGTTTCACCTTTAGATATATTGATGATTGTCTAAAGAGAGACCTGTCTTCAGAAATCGCGGTTACGACATCCTCCTCTTTACATCTGCCGCGTACATATATACTTGCTCTTCAGTCACAATGCAATCCACAGGAAAACCTTTTGATCAAACTCTATAAGCGTGCTGATTGCAGTTTTTCTATAATTATTGATTTACCAGATGTTTCTGTAAAGTGCCATTCCTGCTTCTCTAACCTAAAGAGCCTGTGTCTCGAATTGTCCGACATTTTTGAGTGCATTTCCAATATCGTAATTTTCATGATAGCTGACGGAAAATATAGATGACCGTCATGACCTCCTTTTGAAATGTTCTATTTCCTGGCGTGATATCAAGTTATGTAATTCTGGTAAGCATGCCCAGTGATTGCTGCACAGTAATTTCTCATCCGAGAATGAGACGTTTCTTGAAATTATCTAAATTTATCACGAAATGACACGATCTCCAAATAGAAGAAGGAACCATGAGACACGCGAAAAACACGTGGTTATCAGATGTCGACGTATTGAGGACAGCCAAATGCTATTTTGATAAATTTGTTGATAAATAAAATATCGAATCCCTTAGTAAATAGAGGTACAAACCTCTTCCTATACAGTAACTGTAAGAAAACATACAGCAAATCAAAGTTATACTATGGAATTTCACAATCTTAAAGAGAGGAAACAATCACTTTTTATTATATCAAAAATACACAGCAACTGTGACGGATTCATTCACCATGAAAAGTATACATTGTTGTTGTGAAAGTCTGTAAGTATCGTCTAGAAAATGTTGTTTATACCAAAAATTATATCCTATGTCCGGGTCCGTGAAGATGATTGTACAAAATTCAATTAACATAATAATAATGTGATGCAATTCATTATTGTTTATTGGTGTATGGATTTACATGTTTTTGTTATTTTGTCTTTAATTGATTTAGTGGATTTATGCATTTCTATATTCATATATTTGTTTTTTCTTAACATTTTCATATTGACAATGTATTTACATTTTGATTAATTAGTAATTGGTATCCACCAAAAAAGATAAAAAGAATTCCTGCCGAATACAGTCAAAGAAGTGATAGTCGAAGCAACAATACCAATTTAAACCCCAGGCATCGGGAGAATTTGGTTAGTTGATGGCGAAAGTGTGTCACTTGTTTGGGACAAATAGAAAGACTAGCGCATGGAAAAACCGAAATTCGAGCTGGAAAAACACTATAACTTCTTTATTATTATTATAAGATTATACAAAACACATGAGAGTGAATAGCACCTTCTTTTAAAACAAATTGAGAATTAGATAAAGTAGAGACAAAAACTACACTACATCATACAGCTGTTTCATCCTTCTAGGACTCATCAGTGATGTACCTCAATTCTGAAGCCTAGAAGGCGACTGAGGAAAATAAAAAATGTTCAATAAAAATGTCATAATCTTATTCAATTAATCAAATTTCATACTTTTCATATAAATGATACCTTTAACAGAATACCTAACACATGTGTATGAATGGCACTGATCAGATCTCAAGGAAAGGGATCAAATACTGAAGAACTTTTGTTCAATATAAATTTTGATTCGCAAAAGTTTTCATAAATATTTTACAAGTAAGCAATTTAAGATTTATTTTTAACATTTAGAATTATTGATGTCATGTACTGGCAACAGAATGTTAGACGCATGTATACATCAAGTTAACTACATTTAGTCGGGACTTGGCGCTTCTGCTACAGTACTGTGTATGTTGGCAATTGCAGGCAATAATTTACTTGTTTGTATATCGAACGTTGTTCATGTAAAGTTAGAAGAGACATTTCAGAACAATTTTAATTAACAAAATGAATCGGACCGAGGTGAAGAGGTGCTCACACACTAATGATGATAATCTGCCTATTGACTGCAGAAAGCAATGCAGTTCTACTTATGAACAAATGTATACATGTTTACATCAATTAAGAGTTGAGCAACAAACAACAAAGTAAATATGAATTTTAAACAGCATCAATATTTCCAACGCCATGGCACGCTAACAAATGGTGCTTCACAATTCCTTTACCAAGAAACCAAACCTTCATGAATTGTTGGGTGCGTGTGTAGATATCACATTAAAATTCATATCAAATATATTGTACAGATTTAAATATTCATATATATTTGTTTATTAATTATAAGCTTAACCGTTAATTTATTAACTATTTATACAGATCTAATAAACAATTTCATAACAAAGAATCATATTTATAGACTGCAGCAACAAAACATTTATTTTGAAGAACGAAACAGTTGAAAATCATCAATGAAATGGTTTTAATTCATTTGGTCATTCATGACCTTTTCATTATCATGTATGTCATAAAGAGGATTTCCATGTATCTGTACCAAATCGATGATGACGTAATTCTTCTTCTCTTGGACAGCTGTGAAATAAACTTGCCAAGAACATTTCCAATTTGTTCCGATAATATGACTCTAGCATAAAGAACCTTTTTCCAGGACTTTTCTAATATCACAGATAATTCAAACCTAAAAGCCTGAGAAAGAAATTAAACAAACAAAGTCCTTGCCGTATGACACATCAACCTTAAATATGAACAAAACAAAGCCCAACTACTCTCCTCTTCATTATCACACACAACTTTATTTCATATCACCAACAAAGACAATTTTGTATATTCCTTGACTTCTTCAGAAATAATATTAGCCACAAGAGAACTCTTAGCCACATTACCAATAGGCCAATGTGAAACACATTATAACACACACAAAACTAAAAGGACTACACTGACAAGTTTCACCGAAATTCCCCAAACAACCACTACATACCTTCCAAAACATTATACATGCTACAGAAAAAAGGCAGAAATCTCTAAGCAAGGAAACGTAATAGAGTGTAACAAGAAAAATATTTCAACATAACGACCCATGTTTAGACAGGAGTCAAGAAAGTCTGGATTGCTTACAAGAGTTTTCCAACACAAGTCCTGGTTATGTTTAAATCAACCAGTGGTATTTTTTTCATTCTCATTTATAAACTGGGACCTTTCACTTAAAATGGGATAAAGTGCATGCAATGTGGGACAAAGTTACAGGCAACTGACACATGGAAGACAGACCATATACAGGCCTTTTGTTTCCAAAAGTCTCTTTTTATTTATATTTCTATATATTCTTGCTATCACCTCTTTTTGGAAATGTAATTGTACTTGAACATTAATCTGCCTGCAGCCTGTCATAACTACAGATCTGTTACCATTGCAACCTAGTATGGTGGTTCAATTTACTGTACACAACTGTACATGTCCATCAGACTAAAGAGGACTTTCATGAACCAAAAATACAATGGCATACTTCTTTTTCGCCTATTGTACGAAAGATACATAAATTATATAATTCCCACTTGTGTTGATAACATGACGGGGCATAAAGACCAGAACACACATGCAAGGTCACTGTATAATTGTGACTAGTCATAACTTTCACATTTTGATTCATTGCCGAGTACAGTCAAACCTCAGTTTCCAATACATACCGGGAAATATATTTTAACATTTGCTAAAACCTTTATTTTTTCATAAAGATCAATGATAAATTGTCAGAATAAATATAATTTATTTGTGTGTATAAAAATTTAGTGTCATGCGCCCTTAAAGGATTGTTGACTTGGAGACACGGTTATCGTGAAGAAGTCCGAGGGGTTAGGACGATTGGCTTGGGTAGAGGACGCGGGAAGATGGTGAGTGAAGAAGACTGTGCGTGATACAATGATGAAGAAATGACAGACATCATGTGTTGTTTTAAGAGTTTAACTAGTGGGTTAGTGAACTCTGTGTGTGTACACCATGACCGCGAGAGCTCGAGCGCTGTGACCCAGTGTGATCACGAACCGAAAGTAAGGACGCTCTGCATGGGGAAGTGACATTCACCGACTGTGAGTAGGGAAAGGCATGTGATCTGTCTATCTCCTATTGTGTAGTTTGTATCTTGAATTTGTTGGTTTATTGTATAAATCGTTAATTGTTTATTGGCGTCCGTGTTGTATTTTACGTTCCAGCGAAATACTATCAAGTAAACTTAAATTAAAGATCCCAAAATTCATTGTCATTTCTGACATAAATAAAGATTTATATAATTTAGACCTGAAATATATATATACATCAATAACAATCAAGTAAACAACATCTTTGATGATCTGTTGGTTATGCTCACTTACATTCTCTGCACCCCTGAAAAAATATTTCGTGGCGAAAATTGAAGTTTCCATTTGTGAAATCTTGTGGATAAAAGGAATAGGACAGTTTGATCCTTTGATGTATATCAAATTTAGAGGTCACATAAACGTATGTTATTCTAGCTTTGATGTTGGGTATCACACCTTTGTAATCTTGGGAGGAGTGTATCATTCTGTGATTGGGCGTTTTTTTTCCTCCTGAAACTTGCTTTAGACCAATCAAATGACTGCTCATGCCTTCATTTGAAATGATCTAGGGGTGCAGATGGTGAAAGTGACCCTTGGAGTAACAAGGATGATAAACAAATAATGACACATACAAAAAATGTAAATGTATACCTGTATTAGATTGAGGGAATGACTAAAAACACTTAATACTATGATCAACTGGCAGGCAAAACAACAACATCAAATACTAGCCAAGTTTACAGTGTTCTTCATATCTGTAAAAGTTTTAAAATTTGTAAAATGTAGGACCTTCCCTTATATCCAAAATATCAATGTCCGATGGAATATTTTCACTCTCCTACAAAAATTGAAACAAGTGACACATCATCTAAAAATAGATTAAAAGCTTCCTCTAAAACTAAAAGTAGATAAAATGTAAGTAAAATCAAACCTGTTCATAAAGGTCACTCAAGGGAGCAAACAAAATTGGTTTTAACAGACATGTAACCTTGATGTTAAGGTTAAATTGCCATGAATTGTGTTACTATTTATCATATTGAGGTTCCATTATACCATGATTTGTATTTAATCTGGAATAAAACAAAAGATCGTTATATACAGCTGGCCTTCATAGAGAGGTTCACCTACCACTTACTGTATTACATTGAAAACCAAAACAAGAGGTTTTTATATACAGCTGGCCTTCATAGAGAGGTTCACCTACCCTACCACATACCGTATTATATTAAAAACCGAAACAAGAGGTCATTAAAAACAGCTGGCCTTGATATGGAGGCTAAATTATCATGGAATGTTTTACAATCAGAGTTAAAACAAATTGTCTGAAATAGGCAGTGGTCTCAATACAGAGGCTGAATTACTGTGGATTGAATTGCATTCAGAAGCAAAACCAGAGACCTATATAGACAGGTGGGGTTTACACCAGGTCTGACTTAACTACATGCTCAATGTACCGCATCAACCAAACTTGCTGTTTCTACATTCTCATCATTTTTTAACTCAATTTCTACATCCTGAAATGTGCAACCATTACCAAATTTAGATTTCAATATTTTTGCAATCACTAAAAGGATTATAAAAAGTACAACTAAAACCGCACTCTCACCAAACAGAAGATATGTGAACCACATTGGTGACAAAGTTTGCATGAGATAACCTAATATTATAGGGTTTGTCATTGTTCCACTGGACGCTGAAATCAGAAACAATGATGCTACCTTCCCTGATACCGGCGTCAATTCCTCCTCTGTCCAAGAAAAGACTGTTGGGAAAATAATTGACATTGATGCACCTGCCAGTATTGCACATGCCCAGATACCACTGTCAATTTTAAAATGTCCAAAACCTAGTAATGCCCCCAACACACATGCTAATGCTACAGTAAACCCACATATCATTTTGTCAGGCTTAATCCATTTTATTAACCAAATTCCTGAAAAACGACCAAAACCATATACAGCCCAAAATGCTGATGAAGCATAGGATCCCTGTGCCTTTGTCCATCCCATGTGTTTCACACAGAAGGTAGTGAGAAAAGAATTAAATGTATCTTCCACAGCACAGTACATGCCAAGAAAAAAACACACACTGACTAGGACAAGCACTTTGTACTCTGTTGTTAATTCTCTCGTAATCCTTTTGCTCTCTTCAACAACTTTGATAGAATTTTTCCTTTTACGTCTTCTTGCTCTCAGGTACAAGATGAGGAATGGTATTGCACTTGATAGGTTCATAACAGCAGAGATAGAAAATGCTATATATAGTCTGGAATCTTCTGCTTTGTAATGTGTAGATGGGTCGGGTGTCATAGTGGAAACACCAGCTTGTGTGAGGGAGCTCATAGAGGTATTGTAAAGAATTTGAGATATGTTAAAATCCGTTTCATGTATTGTACTATTAATTTGTAGACTAGAGTTATCTGCCCTTATATTTCTTTCTTCTAACAGAAATGGAGCGGTTGCTAATGGAGAAAGGATCCCACCAATAGCAAATGCAAAATGCAAAGCCTGCAGAAATGAGCGACCATCTTGACCCCAAGTTGAAATCAATAAAGCATTCCCACCTAAGAAAAAAAAAAAAAAAAATTGGATTACCAGTATGTTCCTGAATCAAAGGCAGGAGTAGGGGCACAGATGTTTTTATAGAATGAAATTCTCATTGTCATGAAATTATCCAGAACAAACTTCAAGCATTGTTTTTGTGGAAATTTTTAACAAGTTCATTAAATATGAATTCAAATTTGTCAATCATTGTATATAACTGAGAACAAATAATTCAACTCAAACAATGAAAACTAGAAGCTAACATTATTCTGTAATTTTTCACCTGTATCAAGTCCTCCACCATAGAAACCACGACAAAACTGCACTGTCATCATAAGCTCATACATGTAACACCAGGGGAGGATAGCAGAGAAAAATACTCCAGTAAAGGTGTACACAAACAGCAGGAGGACCTTGTTGAACCGGTCAAACAACAAGCCACTTATTACGGACCCCACAAGGTATCCCACAGAACCACTGGTCAGATAGCTAGACGCTTTCTTCAGATCAGTGTTTGTGATAATTCGCAGGTCAAGGAAGGAGGGTCCAAACTGAGCAACCAGCCAACCCTGTAACATAAGCAGACAGCTTTTACTAACTGAAATATTTCTCAAATGTAATGGAAGTAATTTAATTTTTTACAAAATGTTTATCCAGGAGGCTGAAAAAAAGTTGTCTGGATAATGTATTGTATAATATCAAAGAAAGTATTGACTGATACTGACAAGTTGTAATGACAAGCATTTATCATACAACTGCATAACTTCCACAAACAAAAATTTAGTATATGTACAGTCTTTGAAATAAAACTTGTTCAACTACCTTGTATATCCATCAGTAAAAAACCTATAATGATAATCAGAAGAGCTTAATAAAGAAAATACTTTACCAGTATCACAAAAGACCAGCAAATGCTTAGACTCAAAATCACTTTTTCTTTGTAGGAAGGATCTGTTTTCATTCTCTTCATAAACGACATTTTCTCCTCTGTAGGTGTTTTCACATTTTCCAAGTTCATCTCATCATTCAAGGCAGTAGGAGTTACTTCCCCTTTCTCCACTTTGGTAGGTGGAAGCAAATTTTCACATGTTCCATCACTAGCTGCTTTCCCATCCTTGGGACTTTTGAGCTGATGTGCACTCCCATTGTGTTCTTCTTTTACCAGTTGAGACAGGATTCCATCCTGATTTGGTACTTTGGGAACATCTGCCATTCTTTGTACCCTGATAACAAAAACACATCAATTTACAAATCTGTCTATACATGCTGAAAAAGAATGTTACTTTAAGTTATCATCAAAATAAAGTCATCACTTGACAAACATACCAATAAATGTTTCAATTACTACAAAGAAAAAATTGTATGCTAATAACTTGTTGCTAATCTATTCTGACAGAATATTTGATCATAGGCTCTCAAATTCAAGGGGAACAAGAAAAGTTTGGGTGTCTTATGGTAGTGAGTCATGAAGTTAAATGATTTTTACAATACTTGTTTAAAGAATTCACAATTGTATTACACTTAAATCATATTCTGGGGAAATAATTACTTTAATTTTCAAAAGTTGACATTGAAGAAATAAAGGTTAGTTTCAGTATCAGGCTGTTAGAATGAAATCAGGAAACACTGTACACCCATATACATACATGTACTTTGCCATTATGATGAAATAGCAGAAATAAAGGAATCAAATGTACATACAGCTAAATCTTGCGCGAGTTCAAATATACCTTAGACCGTACTGTTGGCAGCAGAGTGTTTGAATTTTTACCTTCAGGTGTAACTACAGGAAGAAATAGGGCTATCAATCTTACAATGTGAAATCCAAGATGGCTGCCTGTTGTTTTCATAAACTTCATTCAAGATGAGTGAAGTTTATGAAACAGAAGCATCGGTCAAGATATAGTTTTAATACAATTGAACCTGTATAAATGAAATTAAGGAATGACTAAGCAATAACAAGCATGCATTGTGTAGTCCAATACAGCCCCCTCACCAAAGGGTCACCTTTTAATCAGTCCCAAAATTGACAATACAATGCACAGGACTTATTAAGGGGACCTACATATGAGATTTGAGAAAGAGTCATGATCATCTTCTTTTCAAGAAATAAGGATAACAGACCTTGATATGGTAATCAAAATTTAAGATGGCAGCCTATCTGCCATTTCAATTTTTTTTTCAGCCCATGTTACTTCTTCACATCTTAAATAGTCTGGTTGGATGAGATTCTTTCTCCACTTGAGTACTGATCCTGGTTTTCAAATCATCAAAAAGTAAAGGCAACACATATAGGAAGGGAGGTAACTCTGTCTAGTCTCTGATTTTAAATCCTGAAATTCAGCCTTCTGAAAAGTTCTGTCAGAGAGCTATACTCGGATACACTTATTAATCAACTAGTAAGTTAATATACCCTTTAAAATATAAGTTTGGAGAAAACATCTTGGAATTTCCAATTCCAGAATAAAAATGTTTGAATATTAACAAATTGGAATTGAAGTTACAGTTGCTGTTATTGGGGAGGAGGGTTTAGTCCACAGTACTTTTAAAAATCAAATTAGCCAGTGTTTCAATGAAGAAAGTTCATTTCTAAATTCAGATTTGTAAAAAATTCCTGGTATGTTTTCCTATGAAAGAAATCTGCAGGTATTTAGTTTAATAAAAATGTATCCCAATAGTTCTAACACATTTCAATATCTTTGAGTGAATTTAGACAGGTGAAAAATGTCTGGAAGTAATTGTAAATTTAGTGTCCTTGATTGGCCTCCCTTGTGACAAGTTGTGGAACTTTTTTGTTTGCACCAATAGATGATAAATTAAATTTTTTAGAAACTGTAGAAGTTATTGGATATTCTTGTTGTTTGCCGTCTTATGACCACAGCAAAGAAATAAAAGGTTCAATTTCCAGAAGTAATGGCTGAATTTTTGACATTAATGACATCTTATTCCTTTTATCCTATTATGTCATACATAGTATACAAGCTTTCTGCACTCATAAGGATAACTTACAACTACAAATAGTCAATAGTATGAGGCCTATATGAAAACAGTTGTGTATCTCCATAAATGCAGATACGTGTCTTGATGCCTGCTGTGTGTCTATATCATTAAAAATATCTTACTGCTTTTTGTTATGAAGAGCTCTAGAGATCATTCTGTTCATATATAGATTTTCCCTGTCAATTTGATAAGAAAAACAAAAAATGTAAAAGGTTCATGGATTTTGACTGAAACAGCTTCTTGTCGCTATTTCTTGGAAGAAATGGAGTGGTCCTTTTCACAAATTTCATAAGTGTATGTGTTGGTTTTCCTTAGTACCTAGCGTTTTCTCAGTTTCGCATATAATAAAAAGAAATTCTACATGTTCGGTTTTGAGAAGGATTGGAAATGTAACTTGTGGTTACTATTTCAAATTGTAAATTAATAAAAATATGTCAGATTTTAATTATAAATAGGATCACGGTTGATCTGTGGTGAACGCACACTATTCTCTTTCCTGATACAGAAAATGACCCCTCCTTTGGTGGCATGTAGTTAGAACTTGGATTGATGTGGTCCAACCCTCCAACCCGACCCCAACTAACTCCACTATTCCATCCCCGCCCCCAGCTATGGTACATAATACTCCTTTCTGGTAGTTAATCAAAATATTCTTCCGATTTAAACAAACCGTTTCATTATTTTCCTACCCATCACGAGCTATGTACATGCAGCTTTAAGAAATGTTGTGACGTAAGCATTTAATACCTCGCCAAACGGCAACAATATTGACTTGTGGCCTACCTGGTCACCTACTACAGCTAGTTACAACATTACAAATTCCGTTTCCTTCACCAGATGATATGATCCCGTATCAGGAAGACAGACAAGTGACCGTGTCAAAGATAGCAGCTCTACATGTGTGGAGCTATTGATAGATGGAAAATCCAGAGTGCAATACCGGATGTACAGTATAGAAAGAGAGATAATTCACAACCGGGCCGAGTCATAACGACAAAGAACGTCAACATTGAATAGTCAAAATTTCGCTAGGCGTTTCAACCACTGACTTAAATAGATTTATATCTATGTCCGTGTTTCAACCAATATTGTACATGTGCCCTGTTTGGATTCAACATGGTTGATTTACAGTTGTAATGTACATTACAGGCGACATCAGATAATTCTATTGACCGCGGTCAAGAAAAAAACAAAATTGTGGATAGAGAATCAGAATCCTTCAGGCAAACGAACACGCTAAGCAACGACAGACAGACGCGAATTTAATTAAAACTAGTGTGTGTGTGTTTTTTTATAATATCTATTTATATTTAATACCCCGATATGAAAATCAATGATATGAAGAGAACATTGCTGGGAGTGTATTCACAATACTGATTTATTTCTATCGTTAGTTTATACTTAAATGGGATACATTCAAATGTTTTTGTCCATATACTGACGAATTTCTTCGGTATGAAAACCCCATAACTCCCGTGAACAGTCGCAATGCCGATTATACTTGATTTTCCAAGCGTTGTTGGACATCGATTGTTTCTTCCAAAATGATCACTATTACCGGAATGTCTATATGTCCTAATCTGTACCGTGTCCGTTTATTTTTTTATAACGGTTACTACGCTGACCATGTCATTACACGTACATCACCGGGTCTGTATTAAACCGTTGATATTTTATACATTATAAGTACTATTTAACATATTACAAACTACACGTAAACTAAGATAGGTATTTTACCACAAAATCATATATATATCAGAGGAAGTGGAGAGTACCATCTCTCTTTCCTATCAACCGTTTACTTGTACTCTTCTAATTTTACAACAATGTTTGATGAGGCTAAATATACGTTTGTTCATAACCTATTGTAACCCTGGTAAAATACTAGCCGCAATATACCACTCGGCTACAGAGAACTTCTCTTTAGCTCGGTTGGTAGAGCGTCAGACTAGCAGCGAGATTTAGCCCCAATGATACAACTTCAGATTCCGACTTTCCTGGTTTTGTTTCCCCCTCTTTCTGTTATTGTAGTAGACCAGATGAACAAGGAAGGCGTTCATTGGTAAATGTAAGTACCGACTTAACATCAACTCGTCCACCAGATGTAAAATTACCCTCAGGTGAGTGCGTATGGTTCCACCTTGATATATCAAACAAAATTTAAAAAAAAAAAAAAAAAATCTTATGTGGGACTTACTATATATGCCTCTGATGAACCTGTTTCTTCTTGGGATCATATCTCTCATTCTATCAAACTAGCTGTTAACATGAGAATACCAAGTGTAATATAAATATAAAAAAATAAACACACTACACCTTCACAACTAAATAACTACTCGCTACAACATTACCTAGAACGTTGCCAATCCTATTTTCTTTATGCAATCGTCTTTCTCTCTCCCTGACCTAGCTCGCTTAAGTGATCCATCCTTAATTGACACCCGTTATGTCTGTGAAAGCTTTCTTGGTCAGCCTATTAGATAGCATTGTCCTGTGATCAGCAGTCTTGGCATAAGTCTTAATATAAATCAAAACCTATTCAATCATATTTCACACGTAATATTTAGATATTTGATCTTGGTAACTATGACGATGACAGAGACAAACTTTCTACAATGGATCGGTACAGCACTTTAGATAGTGATGATATAGACAAAAGTGCGACCAAGTTACTGACATCGTACTTCTGACGACCAGAGAATGTCAGCCTAATAAGGCTGCAAAAGAAACTCACGTGCATGACTGAACAACACCATAAGGAAAGTGATACGTAAAAAAGTACTTGCATCGAGAAAGTGATACGTAAAAAGTACTTGCATCGAGACAGTGATACGTAAAAAAGCACTTTTTTTATTTATTACCGGCAAACTGAACGCAAGTTTTATATACTGAAGTGAAAATTGGGTGAGTTTTTGTCTATTCTTAAAAAAGCCCACAGCATTGACATAAATGTTATTTTGCATTGCATTGCCTTTTCCTTAACACATTTTGATCTAGAGTTATTTCCCTTGTGTCACAGCGATATAGCCGTTGGAGACGCAGAATACCATGATAAATTATACAACTCACGAAAAAAACAAAGAAACACACACACACACACACAGTGTTGTGAATACTTGTCTATTTGTAATTTATTGATGCAATTCATCGTGCAACCACATTTAGCACAACAGGAATGATGATACGTCTATTTATAGCGACTGTACTCATTTTGTTCTACAGGAAATACTGGTGGTTAATCTGGTATGAAAAAACTCTCAGAACTAGTCTTTCCTACCCTTACAATTTTTCATGTGAATAAATGAATATATCAGCCAAATGTCCAAAGTTTTACCAGAATTGTCTTTCCTTACCGTACCATTGCAATAACTCTAAGAGATACTTCAGTTGTCCCTTTCTAACACGACGTCATCTGTTGAAAGAAGTGACGTCATCTCATCTATTTTTGTGACATTGCAAACCCGGTTTCCGTTTGCATATCATAACTAGGCTGTTTACTGGAAAATAACATCGCCATTAATGACTAATTCATCGCCTCATCGGCATTTTCCATTGTCACATCTACAGGTGCTGTTTCTTCATAGAACTGTGTTTGTCTCCTTGCCATGAAAAGCAGGATAATGTAAACACCTATTGCGGCCATACTATCACCTAGCAACAGATAGGCAAACCACATCGGCGAAAACTTTTCCACGAGATATCCCAACAATATTGGGTTGATCATCGCCCCACAGGAGGCAGATATCATCATAAGAGATGCCACTTTTCCTGTCATCGGGATCAGATTCTCATTTGTCCAAGTAAACACAGTAGGGAGAATGATCGACATCGCCGCTCCAGCACTCACTGCGCATGTCCATATACCGGCATCAATAAAATGATATGAAAACGCGACCAACGCTAAAAAGACGAATCATACCGAAACTGTAAATACGCCAATCAAAACTGCTGGATTGAATATTTTTATCAGCCATATTCCTAGAAAACGACCTGTTCCGAATGTTGCCCAAAATAAAGACGTAGCAAAAGAGCCTTGGACTTTTGACCACTTCATCTGCCTTACGCAAAATGTTACCAGGAGGTAGTTGAACGTATTTTCTACAGCGACGTGTAGTCCTAAAAACAAGCAAATAGTCGCAAGTGCAAGAACGTTCAAATTGTCGCGCAGTTTACGTTGACTTTTGACACCCACTTCCACAGCTTTTATCTCTTTTGTAAATCTTTTTTGCCTCTTCTTCCGGATAGACAATATAAAAATAGGAGATGCGCATGACAGGTGTAATGCTGACGTAATAAGAAAATCCAAATACAATTTAGAATGTCCAGGTTCGTCAGCATACGATGATATAGGAACTGAAGTTGCCGTATTGTTGATTTTGTCCAAATATTCATAATTATGACTTGGGATAGTTGTATATAATTGATAACCAGATATATTAAATTCCGGATTTAATAAACTCGAAGTATTTCTCCTTATTTTATCATAATATGTTGAAAGAAATGGTACTATCACCACTGGCGAGATTATTCCACCCATCGCAAAAGCGAAGTGTATGGCTTGCATGAAGGAACGGCCATCATCTTTCCATATCCATACCAGTAGAGCATTCCCACCTAACCAAATAGAAAATCAACGTTATGAGTTACATCCTGTTGTAAGATTCATCAAATGTGGGTGTCCAGGGATTTTCATCGTTTTAAACTTTATTGCGATTTTTTGTTTGCGACAGTTGCTTTCAATGTTCCAAATGCCAAAACAAAAGTAAACCAGTGTTGTAGATACCAATACTTGCTTTTTTGTAAGTACAAGTATGTGTAATTTCAGTTTTCATCTGAAAGTCATTGTAATTCATTTATTTGATTTCGAATTTCCTGAAAATGGAAGTGCTGAAAAAACACAAATAGGAATATTATTTTTGAAGTCTAATTGTTTAAACTTTACATTACAATATCACATCTACATTTTGACAATGAATGGTAAAATATATTAAAATTAAAGCACAATTGTAAAAGTAAGTTTTGGTGGTACAGTTGATGCGTATGCGAACTCGCCTTTCACTAAGGCGACCGGAGTTCGATTCCCCGGTTGGTATGGTGTCATATGTCTCGAGCACTCATATCCGCGGCCAACAGGCCTTAATTTGTTTCGCAATTCAAAAATTTATTGGGAGCAGACAGATTTTAGCATTTATACTTACACTACTTAGTATTAAATTCTTTTATTTGTATCTAAGCATTATCGTTATAAAAACTTAAACGAAACACAGTATACCGTGACTATATATAAAACGGCACACAGTACACCGTGGTTATATATAAAACAAAACACAGTACACCGTAACTATATATAAAACGAAACACAGTACACCGTGACTATATATAAAACGGCACACAGTACACCGTGGTTATATATAAAACAAAACACAGTACACCGTAACTATATATAAAACGAAACACAGTACACCGTAACTATATATAAAACGAAACACAGTACACCGTAACTATATATAAAACGAAACACAGTACACCGTGGTTATATATAAAACGGAACATAGTACACCGTAACTATATATAAAACGGCACACAGTACACCGTGGTTATATATAAAACAAAACACAGTACACCGTAACTATATATAAAACGAAACACAGTACACCGTAACTATATATAAAACGAAACACAGTACACCGTGGTTATATATAAAACGGAACATAGTACACCGTAACTATATATAAAACGGAACACAACACACCGTGAATATATATAAAACGATACACGGTACACAGTGACTATGTATAAAACGGCACACAGTACACCGTAACTATATATAAAACGGAACACAGTACACAGTGACTATATATAAAACGAAACACAGTACACCGTAACTATATA